TTTGCAATCATGTAAAAGAAGAGAAAAAACCATTGTGCTCCACTTAAGAGAAAACTCAAGATTAAGTATTTTACAAACCAAGGAAAATAATGATAGGACATTGAATCCTCTACAACATATGAAATGTCAAAATCAGAAGTTTGTTTATGAGAGGCTTTGTTTGATGGTTCCTCCGAATACAAATAGAGGCACGAACTTAGATGGCTTGGTTTGCCCCATTTTAAGTACACTTTCTCAGGTAGAAAATGGGAATATGGTGGAAGGCGTTGTTGGCATCACCAAAGGAAGTGTCTTAAAATTAGCTTCCAGTCCTGCTTCATTTTTTCTGTGAAAAGAGTCCTCTGGTTATTTTGCTGCCTCAGGGTAGTCTTGGAGGTTTGTTTAGGGGTTGCTTTGGGTTGGCTGAATCAGGAAATGTTTTGACTTCAGCCCCTTGGAGGAAGATTTTGAATATTTTATGAAAACAACATAAAATTAAGGGAAACAAAAAAGAAAAAGGAAAAACATGTAAAGTACCGTTACATATAGCTTCAAGGGCCATAGTGCAAAATAGTTTTCCAAAAATTTACCTTTTAATGATTTATCTAACAAAAATAGATGTTTGATTTATATTTTTTTGTTGATAAACATTGGTTAGTCGATCATTTTTTCTCCCTCTAGAATTTAGAAAAACTCAATAAAATCAAAGTCACTAAAATTCTACAGTCATTCATATACATTGTGAAACCAAATGTCCAACAAACCTTTATAGTAGATTAAAGCCCTGGAATCATTGAGGTTGAAAACCATCCATAATCTCTCAATGGATTGTGAACTAATAAGATTTAGTAATCCACCTATGGCAAGATTGACGGCTCTGATTTTTGTCGAAGGCATGTCTTGACTGTTGGCTTGCGGCAGATCTGGTTATTTTCGTTTTTTTGTGTAGATCGTGGGGAAAAGGTCCTCTACCCTATAGAAATAGAACTCAAGGTGTCATGTTGTGGCACCGACCACCCTGAGCACCTATGCTTGGAGCCCATTCCTAAGCTAATCTGATTAATGGCTCTCAATTTGCTTCTTCGACCTCCCATTTATTGGACACTTATAGACACCATCAATTAGTGGATTTGATATTAAAAGGAGGCTTTGATTGTATTCATCCTTATCTTCTCTATCATAACTTCCTTTATTTGAATTCCTCTTCATGAGAATAGCTCCCTTTGAATGAGTTGATCAATTTGTTAAAGAAGTTTATGCCAAAACCGAGGGTAGATATGCCTTCCACATCAGACGTTGAAGAAACTCACACCAGATTCTCACTTACTAGCTTGAGATAGTGCCCTTGTTAGGGACCAATCAGGTTGCGTGGGTTCATGCTCCACCTGAAGAATCTTCAAAATTAACCACTTAAAAGGCGAAACGTTTGCTTTGAGCTATCCACCTGCTGTGGATGATTACGTTATTCCTCTATTTTACATTTCACTATAGTGGAGCTTTCTCCTTTGGAAGTAAGTGCCTTTTCATCCAAAAAACATGACCTTGTTCTCATTTCTTGTCATTTTCTTAAATGAATATTAGGTAGGATTGGAAGGGACTGCTATCTGCTGAGGAATTCAATCTGTTGTAATGTGCCACCAATCTAATTGGCTGCAGTCTATCATGCTTGCGTGTGTCAATTACCAGCAACCAAATTACTTCTAAAATCATTTTAACACTCCCATTTTTCGCCGTCTTCATATAACTATGCCATGTTCTGTTGCTTTCCCTAGAGCTTTTCAATTCCTTCAGTTAATAGGTCATTTCTTTCCAATAAGTTAAGACATATTTAGACTCAATCCATGGGGTAGGAATGTTTATCTCTTAGCTTCTCTAAATTCTAGGGAAATGAACAATTTTGAGAATCATGACATGGTTCAATGAAAAACATTAGCTAAAGACACGTGCCACTGTTGACTCCTAAATAAATTTAAGATGTATTATGTGTCATGTTGATTGTGTCACCGAGAGTCTTGTCTAAATTGAACATCTTTTACTGAGTGGAACTGATAATGCCCCAATTCAGAGGGCATAATCAATCCCATGTTGGTAGGCACGACTTCCAATGTGCTTGACATCCAGAAAAGAAATGCCGTATGTGTCATTAAAGTCCAACAGAAATGAATTCTAAGCTTTCGTGAAATTGAGTTAGTTGAAACCCTTATCATATGCTAGATTTTGACAAAGATGCGTAAAGTGTGCTTGTTGAGTGTGTATTCTCAACTTTTTTCTTTTTTTTTTAACTGCTTTCCCCAGTTTGAAATTGTAGTGACTTTTTCCCTGAAAAACTGGATTTTGTTTCTTTTGTTCATCATTTGTGGCTAGATCTCAGTGTGTCGCTGATTTAATTTCAGCAGGTGTTCTATTTTAAATTGTGCTGCCAGTTGAACTGGTGGCGATGTGGTAGCCATTGTTTCAATTGCATTTGCACCTTTAAATGTCTTCAAACCAGAAAAAATGCCAGTAGTCTTCCATAATGTACTTCTACTCTGGCATCCTGTTCATTTTGATAAGTGTTCCTTTAGTTACTCCCTCGAACTAACTTTCATCCTCACTCAAGGGATTCGTGCACAAGCAAATGGTTGCACTTTGTGATAATGAAGAATGCTTATTCACTGTTGGAGCTGGAATTTATTGCCGTTGAAAAGCCTTACAACAGTCAATTGGAGAGATGACTAGTCTCTTGGCTGATCATATTTAGCTGGCAAATGAGAGCTTTGAATAATTGGTGTCACTGGTGACACTGCCAATGCCTAAGGTGCCTGCCCTAGTGAATGGGAATTAGAGCATGGGACCAGCTGTGGTCAAAGTGTTAAAACCAATGTGTTTCACATCATAGTGCATCACTTATATTTCCGGGATTTAGGTTTGATAAGGTTTTAAAATTAGCCGGACTAAGACTGAATATTTGGAATGCAAGTTTAATAGGAGTTGAAACGAGGAAGTAGTCAAGATTGATGGCCAAGAAATAGTCTTTTCGATACTTTGGGCCGATAGTCCAGGAAAATGGAGAGATTGAGAACGATATCGCACATAGAATTAGAGCTACGTGGGGGAAGTGGAGATGTGCATTTGGCATTTTATGTGATCATTGCATATCAATGAAGCTGAAGAGGAAGTTCGATAGGACAGTTGTGAAAACAGCTTTGTTTTATGAGACGAAATATTGGGTGATCAATAAACAACATATCCATAGGATGAGTGTGGCTGAGATAAGGATATTGATGGATGAGTAGCAAGACAAGAAATGATAGAATTCGAAATGAATACATTGAAGGGAACTTAGGTGTGGCTTCAATAAGCAATAAGGTGAGGAAAAATAGACTTAATTGGGTGGGCCCATATGTAGCATAGACTCAATACAACACTGGTTAGGAGGTGTGGTTTGATTCAAGTGAAAGGCTCTAAAAGAGCAAGGGAAGGCCCAAAAGGACATGGATGGAAGAAATGAGAAAATTTATATGAGGACTTATGGTCTTACTAAACAGGATTTGTGTAGCCGACCACAAGTAGTTGGGATAAGGCTCTGATGATGATAATGATGAGAAGTACATAAACCATTTTCTTCTAAAGCTCTTGGCTCATTCATGTAAGCATTTTTCACACAATCCAGCTTATGTGGTGTTTGTAATGTATATAATGACCCTAAGTCATAGCTTAAACGGGATTCTCTATTGGTTCGTTTTCCGTTTCACTCGTTTTCCTTTTAACCTTTTTTCAATAATCGTTTGCATCTTTGTATTGTTTAAGTGTGGTTTCCCTAGTTAGAGCACTCATAGTTATTGTTAATCTCTTTGTAATTAATGAAATGTTTTCCATTATCTTAGTGTCTTCATTCCTGGTTTCAAAATATGGCGTATGCATTGAGCATTATTTTTTACTTGGTTAGTGTGTTGGATTGTGTCCGCACCACATTCTTTCTAGTTCTTGTAAGCATTCCTTGTTCATAATATTGTTTGTTAAAATGGAAATTAAACTCTATGTACTTAGTATACATATAAAATGTTGGGTTCTGTGCAATTCAGATAGCACCAATCTTATCAACATGCAAAGGACCAGAGGACACCATATATAGCTCAGGTTGCAAAGATGGAACTAGGGCAAACGACCTTGTTGACATTGTCATAGGAATCTAGTGTGAAATTGTGAATGTCAAGGATAGAAAATGTGTTAACTCAAAGTGGCCTTTACATAGACTACTGTGATGAAAAGTTTTATGAATTTGACCCAGATAGGTTTTCAATATGAACAACATTGAATTATCTGAGCATGATATGATAATGTAAACGAGGCTAAGGGAGAGGTCAACAAGACAATCCCCATGATTACTGGAGCATTTAGATATCAGCTCCAATAGGCATATTAGCCACCTTGTGGTCGATGAATTGAGTAAATTCATTGTCCCATACATAGTTGTGCTAACAAAACAATAGCCATGTGAAGACCTATGTACTTTAATTATCCTGAAGTTATATACAGTGCATATAAGCCTGTGAATGCAGATCCTTCAATGTAAGCTGTGTTAAAAAAAAATATAAATAAATCCAATTTGGAATGTACCACTTGCATCACTCTCTACAGAGGTCATTGATATGTAGAACACTCCCCTTAGCTGGGTGCTTGGTGAAGAGAGTGCCTCTTTGCTACTAACCACCTTTAATAGCAGTAGCACACTTCAGAAGCTGTCACACCAAGGCACATGCTTGTGACTGTTTGCTACTAACCAACTTATCAGCTTTGGCTGGAAGTTGATGTCACTCTTTACATCATTATTTTTGGCACAAGGACATTGATGAGAGCCTGGGTGAAATGGATGTAATTGTGTGACTACCAAAATTGTGTGATGCTTCCATATTTCTCAGAAGATACGTGCATCTTTTGTATGTTAACTCAAGAATAAGGAATAACAAAGCTCAATTTACCTGAAGTCTATATTGTCTGTGAACATTAATATATTCTTCCTTGCCGCAATGATATTGCAGGTAAGAGTAGAGGGAACCGTGGAGAAAGTTTCAGATGAGGAATCGGACAAATACTTCCATAGTCGTCCTCGAGGAAGTCAGATTGGGGCGATGGTTAGCGAGCAGGTTTGCCATGCTTACCACATTTGGCTTGTCTTTGGATCATGGATGCTCCATAAAAGTTTTAAGAAGATTTAACTTTATTTTTGTGAAGGTAATATGAAATTATATGGATTTTGCATGCAGAGCTCTATAATACCTCGAAGGGATGTGCTCCACCAAGCGTACAAAGAATTGGAGATCAAATTTGCTGATGGGTCAGTGTCACTTTTAACACAAATGCTGTTTCTAGTTTTCTTTTAGCATCAGTTTTGTGACTTTTAGTAGTAGTCATTAGTCTTTTAGTGTATTATCTGGAAAGAATTAAGTCTATGTCTACTATTTCTTATCAAATATGAGTATGTTATACCCCACAGTTTCTGCTGAAGACGATGCTTCCAATATGGTAATGTCCGTCATGTGGCTTGAAAACTATCTCCTCAGATTTATTTCAGCCGTAGCTGCTAATTTTATTTACAAAAATCCTTTCCTTTTGTGTGATGGGAACTAGACTTCACATAATTTGTCCCAAGCACGGGTAAAGCAGGTGGGTTGCGTTAGGGAGGCAGCTAGCATAAAACTGTACCACATCTTACCATGAATCTTGAGAAAAAACAGGATTCATGTAGCCGACCCCAAATAATTGGGATAAGGCATGGATGATGATGATGTGTGTATATACCATGCATGGATTTGTATTTTTGAGATAGTTTCTTTGTTTCATAGGAGTCCTTAGTGCCACTTTAAATTAAGCATATTTCATGCAAGCCTGTGATTTGATGGACACAGCTCGGGATAGGTTAAGTTGTCTAGGAAATAAGAGTAAACTTTATGTCGTTTCCTCACTTGAACAAACAATAACCATCAGTGATGTGAATTCAACCGACTCTACCATTTTGTTCAGCATTGGAATTGATGGGATTGTAGTAAGGGAAGTCTTTTTAGCTGCACAGACACAATCAGCTCCTATACGGGTTGTCTTATCAAAGTTTTCTAAAAGCATGAGGCGTTGCCTACATGGGCGAGGGGCCTTGGAAAAAAAATTGAAAATCCAATTCTAATCCCTGTTTTCAAGCCTAAAATTGAGTCTGAAGAGCAATGAGGACTTGAAGTAGGGCCCATCTGCTCAGTCTTTTCATCTTAAAAGGGCGATAATGGTTATATTACACTGGGTCTGGGTGCTTGGGCACTCTTTACTGTGGTGTGTCTTGTCACTTCTGTTGATGTAACTACTGCAAGGAACTTGGCCATTGTAAACTTAGGTCTATCAAGAAATATGAAGGCCTTGTTCCTTTAGCAGTTGTTGCTAAATTCCTTTTGACTACATCTCGTCCTGCTTCAAGAGAACCCAATAGCCACAATGATATGGGAACTCTACTTATTAGAATCTGCTCCAAGCTCTTCTGGCTTTTTTGGACCTTTCTCTTAGTGCAACGAGTACTCTAGACTAGTTTCACAAGTTTCCTATCAAGTACTATTAATGTCATTTGATTGAGATAGCCTAGATGGAGATTTATCAAAAAAAACCTAGATGTTAGATTTGGGTTCTCCAATCATATAATAGTTAATCTGCATCTTCTATCAGATTCATGCCTTGTTTCTGATTATCATACTCTATTTACTGCAAGCATCCTCGTTGTCTATAACTTACAGGATCAGGTTCACCTGCAGATTTGGTGAAAATCTCTGATTTATTGTGTTCCGAGTTTGACTATGGATCTTGTTATGGTTCATCAAACGACCTAGTAAAATACCTTGGTTTATCCTTTCTAATGTCTATGATGTGAAGTGTTACTCTGTTGTGTTGTCAGGATACCTTAAGCTAAATTGTTCTAATTTTATGCCAATCTTTTAATATTCCTCACTCGGAAACTTTGACATGGGGCCCTTGGTCATTGACATCTAGGCTGCATTGTAATTGACATCTAGGCTGCATTGTAACTTTGTGCTTCTGGCTACTTTCTGCTGTCACTGTCTTTTTACAAGAATTGCTGTTCTGCTGTCACTGTCTTTTTACAAGAATTGCTGCAAGTGCAAGTTCTTGATCACATGGGCTCTTAAATGATTAAAACAACCAGTACCATTTACCGTTTTTTTTTCCCCCTCTTTGGTGGGTGTGTTTATTTTTATTTTTTATTTCTTTATATTTTTTTTTTGGTGGGGGAAGGGGAGGGTTTATTGAGCAGAAGAATCATTACATCATAGAAACTATTAGAGCTCTCCTTGAGTCATTGTTACCCATCAGAATCTTGTGCTTAGTCTTGTGCTTAGCTATGATGTCATTTAAGTTTTTGATTGGTAGCTCCCAGAGAAAAATTGTACTGGCAGATAAAGTGGTTTGTAGTCCCTGTTTTTTATTGGGTTTGATCAATGCTTTCACCTCCCATGAGCAATAAAAGTTATTTGCACCAGTTGCTAAATGTGTTGTTATGATATGAGATCATCATCATCATCCGAGGCTTATCCCAATTTGGGATTGGCTACATGAATCATATTCTGTCATTCTGCTCTATTAAGGGCTATATCTTCAGTCAAACCATAAGCCACCATATCTCTTCTCACTACTTTCATGCATATCCTTATAGGTCTTGCCTTTGTCCGTTTAGAGCTTTCCACTTGAACCAAATCGTCCTCTTAACTGGTATTGTATTAGGTTTACACTGTACATAGCTAACTCACATAAGTCTCCTTTCCCTTATACTTTGATATGAGATATGCTCTTAATTTTGAGGGATGAAGTTATCAGTCATCGTGAAACCAAATGTACACAATATGTCATGATGTTGGTTCCCTGAGGGTGTTCCTCTATGGCTATGTTACTGGTGAGGCTCCGTTTTAGTTCTTAGAGAGAACATGGGTAAGAAGGGGCCATGGTTGCTCAATGACAATATCAAATAATTACAATGCTAAAATTTAAGTGCTAGAGGACAAACCTATATTCATGATGTTTGTTCTTAGCTTGCCAGGTTTTATCTAATATAATAACCTATTGATGTTTTCATTTTTCATCTATTTCTAGAGATCTTGGTTTCGAGTCCGCCCACCTCTTTTTTTTTTTTGTTGTTGTTATTTTTACATGTGTGCTTAGGGAGAGGATTCATCACTTGAGTCTATTTTCTGCTTTATCTTAGCTTTCGATGTGAATGAGCATAATTCGCTAAACTCCTTTTGACCTATAATGCAAATTAATGGTTATGTCCTTAAGTAGACTGAAATGTAGCCATACTGAGATGAATATGCAGAAGTGTGATCCCAAGGCCCAAACACTGGGGTGGTTTCCGGCTAAAGCCAACATCTTTTGAATTTTGGCAAGGACAAACTTCCAGGCTGCATGATAGGTAGAGTTTTCCCTCCCTCCCTCCCTCCCTCCCTTCCTTCCTCCCTCTCTCTCTCTTTGTGCCTGCGTGCACGTGTCATTGTGTTGGAGAGGATGATAAGTGATGTCTTTACGTTCTTTGCTGCTTACATCAGGTTGCTCTACTCTCCTGTGGAGGTCGATGGAAAGCGAGTGTGGCGTGTAGATCGCTTGGCCCCATGACTAAGGGTTTCAATCTCTGCTCTATAAAGTTGACATTGAATAATAAAGTTTAATTTCTATGTATCTTCTAGTTTAAGAAAATAAGACTTGTCACTCTCACTGACCATGTCATGTGTTGATAGGATCACCATTCTTGTTAATATTTCCTTTTTCTATTCTGATTAGATTACCATTCTTCTTTTTAATCTTTCCTTTCTCTTTTCTGAATTATGTGAATGCTATTACTTGATTTAGTTGTGAGGGATCATATCGGGTGCAAAAACTCTATTCCCAGCCATCGTATTAAGAGGCACCTGTAAACTTCTATTAGCCGGTACTGGTTGGACACATTGTGTCATGTATGGTGGCTAGATATGAAATGTGCTCCCTTAGACTCTGTTTGGAGGCACATGTAAGTCATCGACTCGACTTGACTTACAAACATGGGCCTTAATGAGCTATTCGGTAGTGCTCATGGTTATATGAAAGCAGTACATTTAAACTGGATAAGGGAAAAACTTTACGTAACCGTTGCCAAAGCCGCATTCGCCTCACATTATGGGCATAGTGGCACAGTCTAAAATGTATAAAAGAAAAAAAAGACCCAAGCCCTAGAGGTATTTTTTATAGGATAAATGTACAACAAGAAGGCCAAAATCATCATTGATCGTTAGATTTGAAATCAGGTGGTTGATGATGTATTAATGTTTAAGCACAAAGTCCAAAATAAAATTTATCGAAAGTTGTGACTCACTTTCATATATTTAATTTCATATCCAATAGCTACAAATGATTGTGATTTCTTCATATAAAAAATAAATGATTTCATAGGATATAGTCTTTTTTTTTTTTATGGCCATTAAAGAAAACCTGGATGGAGAAGTACCGGCAAAACACCTAGTTGACGATTGTAGTCCGAAGCTTTTCCACAGGGCGCTTTTCACATCTGAAATGTGGTGCAGGAGGAGAGGAGAGAGGGAGAGGGTGTGAGAGAGAAAGGTCTATGGAGGCAGAGTGATCTCATCTCCAAGTGGATTTATTTGTCACTAGTCATTGCCCCTGCCCCAAAAACAAATGCTTACGTAAGTAGCCCCTATTCTTGAACAAGCACACCCGGGATGAAGGCCTAGCTTTTAAGTTAGAGAGAGAGACAGAGAGAGAGAGAATCCCAAATGAATTATTGGGTACATGTGTGATGTAGCACGTGCAACTTCATATGTTAAGTGGGTCCCCCAAACGTGGGGTCTTCTTACTTGATGTTTGATACCCAACAAAAGCCCTAAAGCCAAACACCCTACACTCAAAACCTTACCACCCCTCAATTCTCTTTATAATACAAAGTAAGGACGCCTTATTTTATTCACCTTTATTTACTCTGCACAAAACCTTATTATATTCTTTTCTTTATCAATAAATCCTCTTATTATATTACTTGGTTAATGCACTTGCTCCGGCACAAACCTAACTGCGGGACCCCACTTTGGGATTCATGAAAGCTTGCAACCAACGGTCCAGATCGTCCCACCAGCCAGCTGTACTTGCCAGCCCTTCAAATCCTGACCGCCCAAATACAATTAACATTTGCTTGGCTTCCTCACGAGCAAGGGTACCTTAAATATTAATCAAATGTAACTAATCGAACTTAAACATTAATCAAATGAGATTAATGGGGAACCCACGTACGGTTGGGCCCATGGGTCTAGGGTTTCATAGTAAAATGTGCACTCTTGCGTGCCGACTGATGCGCCCACATCATGCACGACTTAGTGTTAGTGAGAGAAACTAAATTAGAATTTTTTTATTGAGAGACTAAATTAAAATTTTTCTTTTCTAGGCCATTAATTGTAGTCCAATAAGACACCCATTTTTTAGGGTTAAAAGGACAGAGAAAACTTTACCTAAAGCATTATTTGTGCGGTCACATGCCTCTCAGATGCAAGTTAATTAGTTTAAATATGGGAAGAAAATGTATAGATGCTTGCTGACAAAAGCAAAGTTGATTAAAATGTCACTATGGACCCAACCTTCTTTTTTCTTGTAGGGGCCAAAAAGAACCTTCCAAGTGACAAAAAATTGAAAGGACCTCACACTAGGGAAAGGAAGCAATTTAAAGTAGGAAGGGGAAGCTTTTAAGTACCTTTTTACAATTGGAAAAGAGGGAGAGACTGTTTCATGTGATTGGGATGTGACCCACAAAGCCTAACCCAAGGGCTAGAGGTATGTCTTAGATGCATTTGTGGGACTCCTTAGTTTGAGTTATGGCATGGGGCCAAATAAGAAAAGCATTTGTTTATGAGGTTGGTGTTGAAAATCTATGTTTCTATCTTTTCTTCACCATGAATAAATTGATAAATGGACATTATATCATAGATATCCTTTGTGTGGTACAATTATTTTATGTTTAAGATATTTATTGTCAAATTTTCTATAATGTTAATCCATGGGGTAATGGGTAAAGAATGGGGTAGGTACATAGGATGTTATTATATAAGTAATAGAAGAAAAAAGGAGAGGCAGCACATGAATGCAATATTTAGGGTAAAGAGTTGAGAAATCTTCCCTAGAAGTCCAAGAGCGTGACCTAATGGGCAAAGACACCAACCACAGGTAGGTGATGTAATGTGAGCTTTCAAGAATCAGATACCCTGACTGAGTGCCTTTCTACTCTTTTCATATGGGTGGTACCCAATATTTAACAAGCCCAATACGAACCTATCATGCCTTGCTATAATTCAGCCTTTATGACCCTTTCCTCCTTTCTAGTACGTGGGTGTACCTTGTTATCCATATATGGACTTAAACATTCCACCCCCTCTCTCAAAATTCGGCATCTCTCTATCTCACACAAACATTCCACCCTCTCTCTCATTTTTCCTTTCCTTGTTTCTTGAGATTTGAATTTATGTAATATTAGGCAGAAAGTAATACATTTTTTAAAATAAATTTGTGAAATTCAATTGAACTGATAATTTGTATATACAAACAAACTGATAATCTAAATCAACTAATAATATTAAGAAAAGTTTATATAAGGTTGCAACCTTAAAATATAAAACTAAAGATACACCTCAAAAATCCATCGGAAAATGTTGTTTTAATGTTGAAAACCTCTCTAATTGGTCATCTTGACATCTCTCTAATTGGGTCCTAAAAATAGTGCATCTTGCCACACATTGTCTAGACCGTCCATTTTCAATAGTTTTATATGTTTATAGATCTATTTGATATTAGCCATTTTTGGAGTTTAAAATTTTATAATTAGATATGAAAATAGATTTTGAGATAATCCTAAGAATTTTTTACACCAAAATTACATACGTTAAAATTCAGAGGCACGAACCACACCCATAATATTATACATAGGTTTTTTTTATTTTTCTTGTCGAATGGGTATAATAATTTGTAGATAAATATTGTCAGTTTTTGTCGCTTTCTCTCGTTTGGTTGAGTGAACACCCATAATATTATACATAGGTTTTTTTTATTTTTCTTGTCGAATGGGTATAATAATTTGTAGATAAATATTGTCAGTTTTTGTCGCTTTCTCTCGTTTGGTTGAGTGAGTAAAAGGAGGAATATGATTCGTGAGTAGAGAGGCTCCATCCAATTCCAAGTTTGAAGGTGGGAGGAAACGCCAAAACGCCCAACTTTTCTCCATAATCTTGAATTCAAGATAAGCATTTCCCCAAATTTTCTTAGTACCTAAGTGCATTGCACCTAACCCTAAAATCTGAAACAGTGGTGTAAAAATAGTCTGACCCCCGAGGCTCTGATAGGGTCTCCATCATGTGTGGCTCAGAGGTCCCTTTGGATTCCTCCTTTCAATCCCATTCATGCCTTTTGTCACTTTCGTTTCTTTCAGACCAACCTTTAGCTCGAGAACGAAAACTCGTAAAGAAAAAGGGGCGGTTCTCTCTCTCTCTCTCTCTCTCTCTCTCTCATTTTCCATCAACACCAGAACAGATGCAGATTATTATCTTGTAAACCGGTAAATATTCCATGGACATTTCAGTATCCCCGGCTCCGGCTTGAGTAGTTAGCAGTTGACGTCAAGCAATGCTATGCTATATCTCGATTTCTACTACTAGAAAAGAAAAAAGAAAAAAAATCCCATGCTACATCTCAATTCCGTTTGATTTCTACTACTAAAAAGACAGGCCGACCAATAAAGAGACAGTGTAATGGCCAAACATGGATCAACGGAAAGTAGAATCCACTCCCGAATTTTACTCAGGATCTTGGATGGAATATCCAATAACCAATTTCAGCAAATTCTATGACCCCAAACCACGATGTTAAAAGAGAAGGAGCCTTGATCACAAGAGAGAGCCCAAAAAAGGCAAAGAAATATTTCTGGTATTAAGAAAAGCAGTTTAGCAGCTATGATAACCAAACTAACCATAGTCAGTCAATGAGCTAACATAAAATTCACCTGAATTTATGCCACCGGGTTATTTGGTTCTATAAGCCTCTTTACTGTGGGCTCAAGAGAAATCAATCAAGGGACCATTTCTTACTACCAAATAATCATTCAGCATGTCTAGATAACGATGGGTCTTTCATGCTTAAATGAAAGTCCAATACTTTTTCCAACTTTAGGCATTCATGACATCTCTCATAGTTTAAACTACTACACACCAATCATGAAATTGGAAGCAAAAAAACATAACTACGAAGTCCCAACATTTCCGTGGCAAAAGCTTCCCACCCTTCACATCATCATAATATCAGATCAAATCAACCACAATTTCTAATTTTAAAAAAAAAAAAAGGTGAAGAGAAAGGCTTCATTAAAAGGAATAAAATACTTGAAGTTTATCCTTTTGTCTCTCTCGGCTCATCTCCTTTGCAGCTCCAAAGGCCACAAATGTGAAAGAAATACTCTTCTTCTTTACCTTCCTTTGCAGCTCCAAAGGCCACAAATGTGAGAGAAATACTGGATGATTGCAGGTTGGGGGTGTGAAAGAATTCAGTATCCCTTGGGGCTTAAAAACACCCCAAGAGGCCCACTTTTGCAGCCTTGCTTTTATGATAAGGTGGATTGCATGAAGATAACATGAAAAAATGGCCTTTAAAACCGACACCACCACATGATCTTCTTGAGCTCCATACGACCTTTGGCTGCATCCACTCCCACATCAGCTTTTCCCACAAAGGGCTGGGAAATTTAAAAAGAGAGACAGAAAGAACACAGAGAGAGATAGAGAACACAGTAGAAGATAAAAAAGAAGCACCAAAAAAAGCGATGCTCTTTACAGTCTTCCCCCTGCAAATGCCATTCCAATAGCCCTAGCTGAGAAAGAATTATGACTGTAAAAGCATAATTAACAAATGCAAACTAGGTTTTCTTTTCCTGTGTCTTCAGAGCTACCCACCACATCCTTCAGTTCACTCAGGGAATCAGTAAGGTGGTCATCGGCCCGCAGATGAAAAACCCATGTTTTTTTTTTCTTTTTTTTTTGAGGAAGGATGAAAAATCCATTTTCTAAACTTACTCCTAGGAAACGTTACATGATGGAAACAAAGGGGGGAGCATCATTCCTCGGTCCTGAAACTGATCGATACAAATACAGCTTCTCAACCGAGTCATCATCGCCCTGCTCCTCTCTTTCTCTAATCACTTCCACAACAAGGTGAGGCAAGCTCCGCGCCACCTCTTGACAACCACTCATAGTAAGCCTACAAGATGACATCCAAAGGAACCTCATGTTACAGTAATGGTGAACACCAGAGAGCAACCCGGCATCTCCAAATGGGCTATCCCTGATCTCAAGCTTCTGCAAATTAGGGCACCCTTCAAGCACATATTTGAGTGCCATATCACTATCTCCTGCAAAAGCTACTGAAAGGGTTTGAACAGTCTTGCCATACATTCCAATGTTCATGAAGGCCCTATCAGTGAGAAGACCCGACACTGCAAGCCTAGTAAGTTTTTTGCAATACCTAACAATGGCTCCAAACCCTTCATCCATGGGCTCCCCAGTGACATGATCAGGCCTGTGTCTCCCCATTATGCAGAGGCGAAAGACAGTAAGTTCAGAGCAGTTTCTGGACATAGTCACCACAGCTGCATTGGTCATTTGTTGGCAGAAGTAGAGGATGGATTGGAGCTTTCTGCATCCCTCCGAGATGGCTACAAGACCCACTTCAGTGACCCCACCCTCGCTATCTTCGCGTGGATCAACAGGGAAAACACGTAGGTCTCTCAGATCCTTGCATGTCGAGGCCACAGCTTGGAGGCCACGGTCTCTCACTGAATCAAGGACCTGGATCAATCAAAACCAATTCTGCCGTTTTTACTTTCAGCAGTGATGATCCATTAAATAATTGAAACCAATTAAAGAACAAAAGCCGAATTTTCCTTTAAACAAGTAACGTCCAAAACTCATTAAACCGACTGAGCAATTTAGACCCATAAAAGTTCTAACTTCCTATTTATGTTAGGAACAATCGGTAGCCCCATTAACCATCTATACCCAATTTTTTTCTTTTGATATGTCACAATTGAGACCCATTAAAACCACTGCTAAATCAAAACCATTAATAGTGAAAGCTCATTTATGTTCCAATAAGCAACAATCAATATCCATCAAACCCATCGAACAATCAAAACCCATCAAGTATCAAACCCCACTTTCTTACTTTCGAAAATAACAAGCAAATCCCAATAAAGCCATTAACCAATAGAAAGAAAACCAAGGATTAAACCAATCTTTTTCTATAAAAAAGTAAAAATCAGAACCCACTAAACCCATTAGACAAACAAGATCAAATTGAGATCAAAACCCTAAAAAAAAATTCTTCAAAACATCAAAATCAATTAAACCCATTAAACAAAAGGACTCATTTCATAAGAATTAGTGTTGGATATGTTAGGGATAGGGCTAACCCAAAGAAGCTGAAGCTTATGGCATTGAAATACTATCGCTTCAAGCTCTGCAGCTGTGATATCGGCAAGGCTGAGGTTGAGCGATGTTAAGTTGGCACAAACTGGAGAAATGGCCGGCAAGTACTCTGCCAAGATCTCCCTGAAGCCAGAGAGACAGTGCAAGAATTTGCAGGCATTGAACGCAGATACTAAATCCACTTCTTGGTCTGGAGCATTAGGATCTGGGCTAAATGAGCCAGTGCCAAGATGAGTTAGCTGAGGAGCTCTAAGCATTAGCCGTTGAAGCTGACCTACTGAGACATGCCTGTTCAGTGTGAGTTTCTTCAATGAACGGGATCTAGCTACCAAGCTCTCTAATGCGTCAAAATTTACTGCACATTCAACACAATCGAAGCAAAGGGAAACCAGGGAAGTGGTGGTCTCTGGGAAACAGGCTAACCAGTCAACACCATCATCAACAACATCATCTTCGATAAGTTCGAGCCCTCTAAGTTGCCTGAGTATCATAAAAGCGTTGAAAAATCAGGCAAAACTGTTTGTTTGTTTGTCTCTATTTAGGGATTTAGATAAAACAATTGACAGGTTCATCTCAGAAAGACAAAACAAAACGCAAATACAGGACAGCAGGGAAGCTAGTTAGGTGAGTTTAATCTGCTTTAGGGAAAATAGAAAACAGAGATAGATCTATCTCAAAGGATGGAATCACGTTTTATCAGTTTTCAGTCAGTAAAACACAGATCTCGGATCCAAGTTGACATGCTCATTGCACAAAAACTAAAACAAACCAAAAGCAGTTAAACCCTGAATAATGAACAATACCGCGCTACCACTAAACTGATGAACCATAGCAAACAATAAGCCCAATAACAGAAAAATAAGGACAACAAAACAGAACATGAAACCAAAGAAACTAAACCCTAAATCACTTCACATTCAAGTAAACAAAGTATAACGAGTCGAACTCCATGACCCCATCAAAACACCCCAATATCCCTCCACACCCAAGGAAAAGAACTAACAGAGATTCAAAATCAATAGCCCCATCAAAACCATGATTCAAAACATCATAACAATCAGCACTAAAAACCCAACAACTCCCCCCAATTCCCAAGATTCAAAACCTCCAAAAGAGATAGAGAGAGAGAGAGAGAGAGAGAGAGAGAAAACCAGTTTTTTCCATTTTTCCTCCATTCGCACGAGTGGGACTCCGACCAACCCCAATTTTCCAATATCTCCACCCAAGTTTCTAGTAACAATATAAAAAACTCGGCTACTTCAAAAAAGAACAAAACCATACAGATAGATGGAACCCTAAAACCAGTCACCATACCTGCAACCTCCAGCCAAAACCGCAAGCCCCTTTGTGGAGAACCCATCGCAACAAACCAGGGAAAGCTCCTTAAACCCTGGAAAAACCCTAGCCAAAACCCCAATATCCTCATCCGTTACACTCATCCTCTTCAAGCTAACCCTCTCAAGCCATTGAAAACCCCTCTGAGCAATTGCCCTAACCCATGGCGAAAAGTGAGCACCCCAATTGTGAGGCACCAGGTCAAAATCAGCGAACCTGGGCTTGCCCTTGAGGACCAGGGTCCGAACCCTATCAAACCTCTCAGCCACACGCTCCGGCTCGATTGCATAACAGTTCCCAATGAAGACCTCGCTCCTTGTCCGAGCTTCAACCTTGTACCAGGCTTGAGAGACCAGAGAAACCGCGTTACGGTCCCTGCGGTGGGTCACAAAACGGAGGACGCTCTCGAGGACATCGTCGGTGAAGGCGGCCTGGAGATCTGGCCGTTGTTTGGTGGATCCGACGGCTGAGGCGGCAGGGGAGGGGTCTGGTGGGGCGTTATCGTCGGAGTCGATGGACATGGCGGAAGGTTGGTCATGGGTCATCTAGAGAGAGAAAGAGAGGAGACGATGGCTATGCCCTAACTGAGGGGGAGGGGGAGGGGGAGGGGGAGGGGAAGAGGGGGTAATAAACAAACATGGGGTTCTTGATGAGAGAGAGAGGGATGGGTTTTAGAGAGAGAAAGAGAGAGAGGGGATATGACCGCATTTATTTTATTTTATTTATTTGGAGAAGGCAGACTCCACTCTGGTGTCTGGCTCTGCACATTGGGATTCTCCATGCCTCTCTCTCTTGATCTCCCTCTTTGACGTGTCTCTCTCCTCTATCTGTGCACTGTGGATGGAGATGCATGGGGCCATACATGATCATCACCATACATGGGATGGGGGTTGTGTGATGCCGCTTCCTCTGCTCTGTTGTCTTCTGCAGAGTAGGGGCAAAAGAGAAGGCTGCCCTTCCTTTCGCCTTAACTTACTCGGATCTCCCTCTCTCTCATTATTTGGGCGTTAGTTTCGCCACCCTTTTTTTTTTTATTTTTTTTTTTTGCAAAATCAAAATGTTCTAGAAATAATCTTAAATAGCAAGCATATTATTATTATAAAGAAGTTTGTACGAAGGATGTGGTTTGCGTATACAAAATTTTTTGAATGGCTTGAGAATCTTTTTTTTTAATTATAAAAATTTAAACTCTAAAAATGGTTTAAATTAAATAAATCTATAAACACATGAAAATCTTGAAAATTGACAACGGTACGGAGAATGTGTTGCAAGATACACTATTTCACACGCTCAAATTTCTTTTCTTTTATTTTCATATTCATACATCTCCATGTTTAGATGATTAGTTATAAGGGTTTTTCAACATCTATACAGCCTTTTATGATGGATTTTTTAGGTGCACCTTTAATTCTACATTTTGAGGTTGCAACCTTATATAAATTTTTCCTTTATATAAAATTCTAATCTTAATCTAAAATTTTAAGATTAGGGATAGCAATGGACCTGATAAGACCCGAGACCTGACAGGTAGACCCTACCTTGGGTCCTGGTAAGGGTATAATTTTTGGACCTGAATACCATACGGGTCTGGGTTTAGGTCCAACCGGACTCGAATACTATGTCGTTATGCTCGCGCTGGTATTCATATTATCATAATATTGGCAACATATACAGTATTATTGGCACAAGAAAAAAAAGAAGCTCATAGTCATATGGTATATGATAGTAAAAAAAAAAAACTAATAAGCTGATAGTCATATGGTGATAATGGATCCAACCAGATCCGAGACTCGATAGGTCCAAGTATGGGTTCAAATTTTGGACCCGAATACTACTCGGGTTCGGGTTTGGGTCCGAGTCCAGGTCCTGTCGGACCCAACCCGTTCCCACCCTTAATTAAGGTGCACCTCAAAAATTTATAGAAAGAAGATGTTTTGATGTTGAAAAACTTTATAATTAATCATCTCGACATTAAGATGTATAGAAATGAAAAAAAAAAAAAAATTCATATCCTAAGAAATAGTACATTTTACCATACATTTTTTTGACCATCCATTTTTGTATATTTATATATCTACGTAGTTTGAACCAATTTTTAAGTTTAAAATTTGGTAATTAGATATAAAATAGATTCTCGATCTATCTTAAAGATTTTTTACTGAAATTATATCTTATGACAAAATTGGTGGTGCATCTTATTTTGATATGAAAAAGTATACAATGAGACTATTTATCTTTGGTATAAGGTGATCATAATTAATCTTGACCATTAGATGTGAAATTGGGTGGCTACATTTATTGCATTGATCAAGCTTAAAGTTCAAAAAAAAAATTTTCGAACTTTATGACACATCCAAACTATCATATTTCACATTCGATGGTTATAAGTAATTGTGACCTTTTACACCTCCTTGTGTGTAAAAGGTAAATGGTTTCATTGTATACAATCCCCTTTGATATTATAAACTTATGTAAACCATACCTACTGTCATTTACTCGTATTTTAGTTGAATGAAGATGTCATTGGGTGGAGTACTAAGAGAGTGAGTGGCATTCCTATATCCACGCTAATAATATTCTTGAGCCTAGGCTCTAAACAATCAAATTATAATCTACCTCGAAATTTTCATCAGAAGAGGTTGTTTTGATGCTCAAATATCATCAAATTGATCATCTCGACATCAAGATGCACGGACATGGAAAAAAAATAGATTTCAAGTTTTGAAAATAATGCATCTTACAACGTATTTTTGAACCATCAATTTTCAAGACTTTCAAGTTTTCATGGATCTGCTCGATCTACATTATTTTTAAAGCTTTAAATTTTATAACTAACGATAAAAATATAATTCAAGGCTATCACGAAATTTTTCATTATTGAAACCATATTCTTGACACTATTTGAAGGTGGGTTCTAGTTTGATTGTTTAGAGCGTCCCCTCTATACAAACCGCACCCTATTATTATTATATATTGGCGATAGCTTTTATGTTTTGAGATACTGTAGTGAGTGTGGATGAAATTTTAGATACGTTCCTGAGAAACTGCTGAATCCACGCCCACCCGTGCATATCACACGTGCAAACGGACGGGCTTGGTATTCTGAATACGTGACGGGAGTCATAAAGTGGTCAATGAAGGAGGTACCTTTTTTTTTTCTGATTTTCTTTCGACGCTTTAACCTCTTTATTGTGAAAAATAAATAAAAAAATCAACAAGGTATAGTAATGTTGGGTAAATGTTGGTATAATGCTCTTTTGTCTTGCTTGCCTTACTGCTAAATTACACGTTAAGTGCATGGATGGCGTGGGTAATAAAGTTTGTCAACTGTAAAATTATTTTACTTACAAAAAAAACTATAATATTATTTTTCCTTTATAATGAAGGAAAAAGTTTTGTAAGTGTGATGCGCTAAACAATCAAATTAAGCCACACCTCAAAAATTTCTCTAGAAGAGGCTGTTTTAATGCTCAAATATTCTCAAATTGATCATCTCAACCTCAATATGTATGGACATGAGAAAAAATGGATTTCATGTTTTTGAAAAATAATGCATCTTGTAATGCATTTTTGGATTGTCAATTTTTCAATATTTCATAGATCTGATTGATCTACACTATTTTCTAAGCTTTAAATTTTATAATTAGATATGAAAATATATTTTAAGGCTATCACAAAGATTTTCAGTCATTAAAACCACATTTCTTAACACTATTTGAATATGTGTTTTACTTTGATTGTTTAGAGCCTCCGCTTTATGCAAGCGGCACCCTATGATAAAAGGTATACTTCTAAAAAAAAAACAAAAAGTCTCAGTAAAGATGTCCAAATTATTGCCCTAGAGTAGAAAAATTTCTAAAACCTTGATGCATAGGTCTACCTAACTTATCCTATGTAAAAGTATAAACCTAAAGATCACCTTATCCAAGCACTTTCGCTCTCGAGGAATGAGTGTAATAATGTCAAACCTTAATACTAGGTCGGCCAAAATCACCCTATGAGAAGTACGCGTTAATAAATTATAAAATTAACCATTATCTACCACACAATTTAACATTAGAGAAGCAAAGGAAGAATTGTCCAAAAACCTTAATAGTAGGTCCGCCTAACTTTATCATATGCGAGGTATCAATTTTCAACCTGGACAACTGAAGAGAAGGGTCGAGTTCAAATCTCCTATTTGAAGACAAAACCCACCTAATTTGAAAAAAATACATTTTTTGTTTAAGCTTTAATCCAATTATTTGGGTCAATTATTCTGCTCTATCAAGGGCCATATCCTCAGTTAAATTGCACGTCAGTATATATATTTTCACTTTTTCCATTTAATATCCTATTGTGCCTTACCCTTATCCTTTTAGAGCCTTCTACTAGAACTAAATCGTCTCTCGTAACATGTGTTGTTCTAGGTCGACATTGCATATAACCAAATCGCCTAAGTCTACTTTCCCTCATTTTATCGCCTATTGGATGTCCTCTAAGTTTCCTATAATGCAGTCATTTAAAATCCTATCTCTTCTTATATTGTCATTCGTCTATCTCAATATTCTCATGTTAATTACATTTATTCTATAAATATGTTGTTTCTTGGCCACCCTATATTCTATCCCATAAATCATGGTTAGTCTTACAGTGTCCTGTAAAACTTTCCCTTCAGCTTTATTGGTATACGACAATTATATAAAACTCAAAAAGCACATCTCCACTTCGTCCATCTAACTTTAATTTTGTACTCGACATCTTTTTCAATCTCACCATTTTGATAGATTATTGAATCAGAATATCGAAATATAATTTCGTTAGTGAGATTTCTTGGGTAATTCGTTATAAGTGGACATATATAGTGGGCTCGTGGGACCAAATTGGATAAAAACATTAGGGGGATTTATGACCTAAAATATCTAATTCACCTAGCTATTAATTCAAATGAAACAAAAAGTACTTTTGAGGGTTGCAACCTTAAATAATCAAAATAAGTCACACCTCTAAACTTTATAATCAAATGCATCTTTGGTGCCAAAATTTTTAGGGTGGTTTGTGAATCTATTTTCACCTCTAGTTATAAAATTTTAGACTAAAGAAATAGTTCAAATCAATCAGATCTACATATGTATGAAAATCTTAAAAATTGAAGGTCCAAATAATGTGTTTCAAGATGTATTATTTTTTAGACTTGAAGTTTTCTTTTTTTATATTTATATATCTTGATGTCGAGATGATCAATTAAATGGTTTTTCAATATCAAAAATATACTTTTTTGATGGATTTTTTAGGTCCACCTTAATTCTACGGTATTTTTTTGTTTTTTGAGCTTTTGGGACCTCATATATATTTTCATCAAACTGAAAGTGTTTCCTGCTCCCACATGAGCATGTTATCTATTTACTCCTCATGTAAAGGCGTAGAAGTATTTTTAGGGCTCTAAAATTGGGGATGCAACTTCTTGAACCTGTGGTTGACATCATACAGAAAAAGTATTAAAACTCTCTCTTAGTTCAATAAATAATGTCAAAATACCGCATAGGCACCATCCAAATTTTGGAAGGATAGACCACATGTTTAGAAAGTCGAAATCCATTTTAGTTTAAAATAGCCATCTAATGATTCCTTTAGTGGACCTCAATATTTTGAACAAGAAAAAAAAATCCTCCAGTATACCTCTTTGGCCTGAGGGAGTAAATGGATAGTATGTTCCCTGGGAAGCATAGAATAAACACTCTTCATCAAACATATAGTCTACTATCAATCTTTTCTTAAGCTTCAAGCCATCTTTATTTTATTGATCTTACAGATGAATAAAGATGCTTTCAGATATTTCAGGTAGAACAAATCCCCTTAATGGTGCTTCCGCATGGCGCCAAATGTACAATTTGATCATGCTGGACCAGTAAATCTTTTTATTTTCTAAGTTTTGTTTACAAAATACAAAAAGTGAAAAAACATATAAACGAGGTTAATGTTATTTTG